AGAGAGAGAGAGAGAGAGAGAGAGAGAGAGAGAGAGAGAGAGAGAGATCTGCTGGGATAAAAGAGAGGACCAGAGAAATAAAGCCACAGAGATGTCACACACACACATACACACACTATCCTGAGTATGAGACAAATAAGAAAATGGGACACAGGACTTTTTTTTAGGGTTTCTTTATGTGGCCCTGGCTATCCCTGAACTCGCCCTCGCCCTGTAGACCAGGCTGGACTCCAACTCAGAGATCCGCCTGCCTCAGCTTCTCAAGTGCTGGGAACTTAGGTATGTGCCACCACTGCCCAGCAGACACAGGACTTGAACACCAGCACTGGGGAGGCAGAGGGATCAGAAAGATTGTAGGAGACACAGAAACAGAGTTTGCTATGAGAGTGTGTCTCCTTGCAGGGTCAGAAATGAAGTCTCACTAACATGGCTGCCTGAACAAGGATGACACCAACATATGTGTTGACACGAAAGGGGGACATCTCACAGAGCCTCAATCCTAGACAAAGACCTGCAGGTGACTAGAACACTGAGAGCAGGAGAGAGACAGCTTTCTCCAGGGGAGAGCATACCAACGGAGTGTCTAAGAACAAGTGGTCAGCCTGAAAAAAAGACATACAAGAAACAGTACACCAACCGAGCAGGTTGCATTTATGTATTTAGGAATACAAACACACGCACACAAACACACACACACAAATTACAGAAAAAAAATGGCTATGAGTTTGAGAGCAGGGAGGATAGTGTATCTCCCAGTGGAAGGCAGGAGTACACAGAAGACCCAGGACAGACGGCTGGCTTGCGAGCCGTGACTGGTTACCCCAACGCCACACAAGCACACATGCAGGGGCTGCAGCAGTGCTGAGCCCAGGCTGAACTCTGGTCCAAGTTTTTCTATGAAGGAACTGATGTCCAGCAGCTCAATCATGAGCCAGTACACGAGGACCCAAGGGACACAGACAAAGAGAGCGACAAGAAATAGGGTGATCGGCTAGACACCGCACACACCCTGAGGAGATACCCTGCCTACTGGACAGGAGGGGCAGATGAGTCTGGGGTTTGAGTGATATTTGCTTTTCATTTTTCCTTGTCTGTGCCTTTCTGAACTGCCCTACACTGCAAGAAGGAAGACACATTATTCTTGACACAGGGAAGTGTTTTCCTGGAAGAAAAATGTATGTAGAATAGGAGCAAACCTGACAGAAAGAGCCCCAAGGGCCCTGGTCCTGAAACAGGAAAGTGGAGCAGCTGAAGGCCCAGGCCAAGCCGTGGCTCCCTCCTCTGTCTGCACCTGTCCTTGTCTCTCTGACAGGCAGAGCCTTGGGAAAGCAAAGAACCATGGGACAGCGTGAGGAACTGGAAACCAGAGAAGGAACTGGCAGGGGGAGAGAGAAGTAGTCACTGTCTCCCTTCCCTGCAGACATGGGCTGGGTCTGGGAATCTCACCCAGCCCCCCAGCACCCCATCCAGGTGCTAGAGCTCAGCTAGCAACCATGACACGACAGTTCCTGACGATTCTGGGACTTGGAGAAAACTTGCAGAGTGTTCTATGGCCTCTGACAGGTTTTGAAGGTTGAATAGGAGTTTCTAGCTTGTCAGAGATAAGAGATTTTCAGAGTAGAACAAGCCCAGACCCTGAATATGAGCTGGAAGTATGTGAGGACAACAGGAGGAGGCTGAGAGTGGGAAGAGAAGGTCAGAGAGAACACTGCATGGAGGTAGATGGATCTCCATGAAGCACACACAGCTCACCTAGGCCACCCCACCCCGAGCGTGCACGCGCACGCACACACACATGCATGCACACACATGTGCGCACACACACATGCAGACAGCAGGAGCACACAGATTCTGAGAACAGAAGATCCACAGGGAAGCAGAAGACAGGCCATAAGCCTCTGTTCGCACCGTCCCTGCTCCCCAATGAACATTTTTAAAAGAAAGAATAGGGCAAGTGAGGCCACCTTCTATAAAGGTCCTTGGGCAGCTGGAGTGTGTGGGAAGAATGAGGTGGCCTCAGGTGTCCACTGTGGACCTGGCTTGTGAAGGTAACTGAGAAGTGTCCTGGTTTTAACTGAGCAGCTAGGAGACGCTTGCAGGCCCAGATGTACTCAGGAGACAATAAGTCACCGCAGGTCTCCTGATGGGCCAGGCAAGGCTAGGAAGGTGTCATGGTTTCTCCCAGGACAGGTGTGTATAGGTTCCCTCCTACCCAGTCCAGCCCCACCAGGGCACACACAACACACACACACATACACAACCCCACATATACACATCACACCACACACACATACCACACATAAACAGCACACACAGCACACCACACACAGCACACCCACCACAAACACACAGCACACCACACACACCCCATATACACACCCACAACCACACACATCATGCACACACAAACACCAAACCCCTCCACACACACATCATACCCCACATACACACCACACCACACCACACATACACACCACACCACACACACTACACCCCATACACACCATACCCACACACCACACACACACTGCACACACAGCATACACACCACACTACAGACAGCACACCCACACCCACACGCCACTGCCTTTGAGATCACCTAGGAACACATTCCATGCATGCTGGGCAGCTCTGCTCCACCCTACCAGCCGCCTGCATCTCACAAACATTCTTGCCTTAAACTTGCTGCCTCCCCCAGACCCTCAAGTAAGTGCAGACATGCTATATCTGTCCCATCTGATCAGTCTCAGGTCCGAAAGCCACTAGCTGCAGGGTTCAAGAACCCTGACTGCCATCTTCCCTCACATCCAGGCCTCTCCTTACTCCTACAGTGTTCAATAAACGGCAGGCCAAACTGAGGTCTGTTTGTGTTTAATCAGACAGTATGCAAAGTATATACAACCAGTCTGGATCCCCCTCCCCCAAGCCTGGGCCATGGAATGTGGGATCCCCAGGCCCTACCCAGAGCTGGGGGTCCCCAAGGCCTCTGCATAGTCATCTGAAATCTACAAAACACTGTTAAAAAGAAAGAAAAAAAAAAGAAAACTGGACAGTTGAGGCCACCTTACACAAAGGTCCTTGGGCAGCTGGAGTCAGGCAGGGAGAATCAGGCAGCAAGCTCAAGCTCGCTGGGTGCGTGGGGGGACTTGGGCAAGAGACTATGGAGGAAAGTGGAAATGTCAGGGCAGGCCCTGCTTGGCATCCTTCCCTGCGAGCAGGGCCTGGCTGGCTCGGATCCCCAGCGGCGGGGACATTATTGCTGTGATGGGACAATGGGTGAAATGGTCACATCTGGGGACAGAGTAGGGATGTTTTTACACGTTAAATATGGACACAAGGGAAGACACACAGACACATGTGTACACACACACACACACACAGGGCCCTTGGTTGAGATGCCACAAATCATCTACTGCCCACCTTACAGACAGGGACACTGAGGCAGAGAGAAGCTACCACATATCCTAAAGCTGGGTGGAAGCCAGGGACCAAGCAGTCAGTTGGCTGCTGTTCCAGGGCCGTGCTCCCCTTGGATGCCCAGCTGTGGATCTACCTATACAGGGGCTGAGCAATGGCAGAGGCCAGAGTCACAGGGGCAGAGAGTCGCTTAGAGAGGGCGGGGTCAGTGTTGGTACACAGCAGTAAGGATCCCTGCCCTCCTTTCCCGGCCAAGGAACTCCACCCCCTCCCTGTGAGTCAGGGAGTCCTGGCATGGACAGGCGAGCAGGGGCTGGGTGTTGAAATGATCGGGACAGAGGAGCAGGGCTCCCCACTTCTTAGCTCCTCCTCTTCTACCTGACTGTCACTGCAGCCTGAGCGCTCACTCCACTTCATGGCTGGCTCTTAAGGTCAAGGCCCACCCGCACTGTGAGGGAAGCCTGTTCCACACCGTGACTTTCCACCCCTTGCTCCTGGCTCGCCTCCCGCTTGCCTCTTCCCCCACGACAGAGCCACGAGCATCAGTGGAGCAGAGCCGACGTGAAGCCACTCTCAGGCCGCAGCCTGCCCACTGCCTTGGAGGACAGTTCTCATTAGTTCCTGAGGAAGACAGAGGGAGCACCAGGTGCCGAGCCCACCTCAACCCTAAACTGCCCGTGGTCTTGGGCAGGTCACAGCCCCTCCTGGATTCAGTCTTTGCAACAGAGAAATGAGGGCAATGTGTTGGTGATCTCAAGGGTCCCTTGTGGAGGACGGGGCTGAGGAAGTGCTCACTCTGACACATATCCCAACTGGTGTTGGGCCTTGGGCTGTCTAGCCTGAGAGCCACGGAAGAGGGTTCTAGACCCAATGTTCCACCCAGAAGCCTCCAACAAGGATGGCCAGGGGCAGGAAGTACATATAGGCCAAGGGCTGGGCCTCATTCCTCTTTGGAAAGGCTCTCTGGCCAGCTTGAAACAGACCCAGGGTGAAAAAAGTGGGGAGGAGTCAGGTGAGTAGAGTGGGTTGAGGCTGGAAGCTATCCCTTAGCTCTGCTCATCACCCAGTGTGTCCTGCGAGAAGCAGGCTAACTCCAGAGAGAATGCACAGAGACAGCCTGTGCCATGGCAGGTGTGGGACAGTCACTGTACCAGCCTCAACCTGTCCTTCCAGGCTGCCCCTGTCCCTGAAGCCCTTCCATGCTCCAGAAGGGGCACTGCTGAGGCAACTCAGCCTCAGAGAGAGGATGAAGGAAGGCAGGTGCATCAGAGGCGATACCCAGAATCCTAGAGGTGACAGTTCTGTGCACACAGTCCCTATAGGTTCTCCCCAGGCTGGTACTGTGGCTCAGTGGACGTAAAGTAGTCCTCCAGGAAGGCCTGCAAGTACTCGAAGGTGGGCCGCTCCTCGGGCTCCTTCCGCCAGCACTGGCACATGAGCTCATGCAGGGACTCAGGGCACTCGGGGGGACAAGGCATCCGGTAGCCCCGCTCAACCTGATCCAGCACCTCGCGGTTCACCATCCCTATGAACAGAGAGAGGGCTGTGAGGAGATGGCGCCAGACACTGAGGCTAAGAGCCCTGACCAGAGGCAGCCTGTGACCAGAGGTCAGCCTCTTTGACATCCAGCCAGGAAAGAGGAAGCCCAGGGGTAGTGTGTGTGTGTGTGTGTGTGTGTGTGTGTGTGTGTGTGTGTGTTTGTGGGGGGTGGGGGGGAGGGAAAGGGAAAGGGAGAGGGAGAGACAGACAGACTTGCCCCTAGGACCAAGGTCAGGGACACAGGTATAGCGTCCTCACCAGGATAGGGTACTCTTCCCTTAGTGGTGAGCTCGGTCAGTAGGATCCCAAAGGACCACACATCCGACTTGATGGTGAACCTGCCATACAGAGCAGCTTCGGGGGCGGTCCACTTGATGGGGAATTTGGCACCTGCAAGCAAGAAAGCACAGGGCATCACTGCCGGCCTGCCGCAGGCACGCTGCTCTCATTTCCATCCGACAGACTGACGCCATCAGATGACCCCCAGGCGCTCCCACCTTGCCGGGCTGTGTATTCGTTGTCTTCTATGAGCCGGGCCAGCCCAAAGTCGGCCACTTTGCACACCAGGTTCTCCCCGACTAGGATATTGGCCGCTCGGAGGTCCCGGTGCACATAGTTCATTCGCTCCACATAGGCCATGCCTGAAGCGATCTGTGGAGACAGAGAGCCTGGCTCAGGGGCTAACCCACACCCATCTGTGTGCTGTAAGCAGGTGCCTCAGGCTAGCCATTCCTGGGGATAGAAAGACACCCCAATACCCTGCCCACCCGATGTCTTTTCAAGCAAGGAGCTTCATTCAGCAAATAATAAGCAGCACTGGTTTGAAAAGGTAGACCAGTGCTCAGTGGGGGAGGGGACAGCAATGAGCAACAGGAGGTCACAGTAAGATTCAGCCAGGAGGACAGGTAAGTATATAAAAAAGAGGCCCCAGATGACCCACAGACACAGATGCATGCCAGGTCCTGCCTGTTGTCCCAAGTCCCCTCTCTGAGCCTCTGTTTCCTCATCTAGCAAACGGAAGTAATAAATTTTAACTTTTAACATTTTACTTTTATTCGTAATTATGTGTATGTGTGCCTCTGATTCCCAGTACCACTCCAGGAGCCTGCAAGGTGAGACTCTGGTGTGATGAAAGCAGGCCTCCTGAAGGGGGCGCTCTGAGCCCGAGAGCTAGAGGTATAAGAAGGTGGAAGAGGAGACTCACCTGAGCCGACATGTCCACCAGCTGGGGTAGCCGCAAGTATTTGCCCGTTTCCCCCTTGAGAAAGTCCAGCAGACTCCCTGGAGAGAGAGAGCCAGCTCTAGCCTTACCTGAGTCTCCGTGTGCAGGAAACTGTGACTCCCAGATCCTGGTCCCCTGCTCAAAGGCCAACACCCCAGGGAAATAGACCAGGGAATCCTACTGGGTCCTTGGAGTAAGTGGGGTAAGGAGGAGGTCAGGCAGACACAACAGGGGGTTGTAAGATCAAGTGTAAAGCCCTAGACAAATAGGTTTATCAGGGTCAAACCGGCCAGCCAGTGGCTGCCTGGGGCTGGAGCTGGAGACTCACTCACTAAGGACAGCAGGGAACTCTGGGGTAACGGGGATGCTATACATATATACTTTTGTTTTGAGACAGGGTCTCAAGTAACCCAACTTGCTATGCAACAGAGGCTGACCTTGAACTCTGGATCCTCCTGTCTACCTGCCCAGTGCTGGGATGATAGGTGTGTGTCATCATGCCTAGTTCTTGCAGTCCTAGGGATCAAATCTAAGGCCAAACCCAGGGCCTCGTGCATGCTAGGCAAGCACTCTACCAAGCAAGCTACAACTCCAACCCCACACTGCTGTTTACCGAGACAGTCTTGCTGTGTACCCAGCCTGACCTCAAACTCAAGATCCTCCTGCCTCAACCCCATGGGCACAGGTGTTACAGGTGTGTGCACCACACCAGCAACAACAGGATTCTTGACAGTGGTAAAGGACAAAAGAAGAATCTTTTAGAAAAAAAAAAAAAGTAGACTTGTTATTATTTACGAAAGGAGAGAGGCAGTCCCTGACATAGCCGTCCACTCATCAGGTTGGTTTGGGGTAAGGAGTAAGTTGCCCTTGGCCCACCCTGTATGGGCACCTGAGCCTCGGTTGTCCCCAGCTCAGACCTTACCCTTGTTCATGTACTCTGTCACAATGTAAATGGGTTCTTCAGACACCACGGCATACAACTGCACCAGCTTCTCATGCCTCAGTTTCTTCATGACTTGGGCCTCCTGGAGGAAGGCCTCTGGAGACATGGTGCCTGGCTTCAGGGTTTTGATGGCAACCCTCGTGGTGCCGTTCCAAGTCCCTGTGGGGGAGAGACATAGTAACATCAGCACAGGCCACCATTCTGTTGCACTGGGGCCGGCCAGGCCAGCCCACATGGGTACCTGTCTCAACCCCTGCCTCTGAACTCATGGCCTGGGCTTGGGCAAGGCCAGATACCATACTGAGACTCTCTATTCCCACTCAGAAATGGAGACCCCTCCAAGGGCTGCGAAATGAGTGTCTGGACCCTGCTCACAGTGACTGCTACTGGGATGTTGATTGATTTGGAATGCTGCCCAGAAGTAGGGCAGCAGCCTGAGGGGTGGGCAGTCAGTACTCCAGGCACCAGCAACCAGAACATGGGACAGAGGAGACGGAGGGCTGTGTCTGGGGCCACTGGGGATGAGAGGTCAGCTCGGCGCCTGTGCTGCATTAGGGAACTGACAGGCCAGCTTGGGAGAACTCCGTGTCACAGGGACAGAGTCTGACAGTAGACTGGGTCATCTTTCTAGCAGTCTTGAGCCAGGCCAGATGGCCTGATTCCTGGTGGTTGCTGGTCTCTAGGGAAAGGTGGGAAACCCTCAGATCACCACACACCAAGAATCATAGCTGAGGTTGAGAAGGACAGAGGCTGTGGCTCACCCAGGCTCTGCCCAAACCCTCCTTTTGTTCTCAGCTTAAAAGCTGGCTTCTCCTTCTGCCCCTCCTCCTCACAACCCAGGACTTCCCTTGCCCGCCTGGCCTGGCCTCTCCAATGCCCTCTGAAAGGAAGACAGTGAAGTGGCAACAGTCACTACAGCCCCACAGTCCCCCTCTACTCCTGGGTGGGCAGAGAGCAGCCGATGGCAGGGGAGCCTGGGCTTGGTGAGGGCAGCTCAATGTCCCAGTGGCTTCACAACTAGACAGGAAACCTAACACTGACTTCGCACTACTCTCTCTGCACAGCGCTGCCGCTTTCTATGCTGAGCTAATATGCAGACGCCTCTTGACGCTTAGCATCAGCCCCTTGTTCACATCAGGACCACGGGCTACAAGGAGTCAGGTGCCCACTTCAGTGCTGACCCCGGGTGAGTAATGGGGGGGAGACAGGAAGTGGGGGAAGGGGTTGGAGGTGATATAGTTTGTATAGTTAATATACAACAATAAAATAAAAAACAGAGCCCAGTTGTTCAGTAGACAATGAAAGAGAGGGACTCAGGGCCTTTGAGCTGTCTAGCTGAGATGTGCCAGGGGTATGTGTTCCTTACCCATCCACACCTCTCCAAAGCAACCCTGGCCCAGCTTGACCTCCAGCCGCAGGGACTCCCGGGGGATCTCCCACGCATCCTTGGCCAGGCCCTGGGTCTGAGGCTTGGATGTGGGACACACGGTAGTGAGGCGGTGACACAGGCCATCAGCATGTTCTGGAGATAGAGGCAGGAAATGGAGCTCAGGTAGGGTCCCACAGCAAGCTGGCTTCCCTGTCCTGTGTGTACCCCAGTCACCTAGCAAGATCTCAGTCCACAGATGGAACAGAGGATAGTTTGGGAGAGGGGAGAATCCTTTGGGAGCCCTGGACAGCATTCCAGAGGAAGAGGTTCCTGGCCTGGATTTGAGGGGTAACTAGGTGGCACCCCACACAGCACATCACCTATGCCAGAGCCCAAGACAAGATTAGCTGTAGCGTTGGACGAGGTGCCAGGTGGTGGGAAGCTGTAGGTGAGGGCGGAGGAACTGGCAGGGGAGGGCAGGGGGCAACCGTTAGCCACCTGGGCTTGCAGCCTTGGGGCTGTCTCACAAGGTTCCAAGGTAGCCCTGGAGGATTTGGTCTGGGAACCAAATGATTCCCAGAGCATTAGCAGACAGACAGAGGGGCAGCCAGTCCTAGAGAGGCTGAGGCCCAGGCCAAGGAGGCAGCTCAAGGAGCTACACCTAAAACAGCCACATACACAGAAGGGCACACACCAGCCCCGTCACTGCACACGGCCTCGGCCCAGCTCCAGCCCGCTCTGCCCTACTCTATCAAAGAAGCCTCCCCCTCCTTCTCTCCCAGGAACTGGTTCAGACCAGTCTTAGGGCTGTGGAAACAATCAACACCAGCCTCTGGCCCCTCCCTTCTAGCTTGCTCCAGGCAGACCTCCTCCTCACCAGCCAGCTGCAGAGGAAGGAGAGGAGGGGGGCTGGGCAGGGGAAGAGGGGAGAAGGGAGGAGATGGAGGACAGGCAGGGAGGGAAGAGGCATCCAGTGGTAAGGAGGCACACCCTGAGGCACCGTGCTCCCATGGGTGAGTCCCCACAGGGCCAGGGGTACTCACTGGAGTAGTAAGCCACGAGCTGCTGCAGGCTGTTGAACTGGGTGCGGGAGGTGATGTAGAACCCGCCGCTGTCCAGTTTTCGGATCTTGTAGTGTTTCACGTTTAGGCCCTTGGCATTGTCGAAGTCGGATACGGAGAGGCAGTAGGCACCTGTGGGTAGGCAGGGAGGAGACCCCAGGCACCCTGCTTGTGTGCTTCTTGCTGGAGGAAGTGAGTTAGTCCCACTCTCTTTCAGCCCCTAGTATGCTGAGAAGATTGGGCTCCAGGGCAGCCACGTAAACATCAACCCCCAACGGCAGACACGCCGCCCCCAAACTCCCAGCCCTGGTAAGACATCTGAATCCTAAATGTGCTCACAACTACGTGACCCTGACAAGCCGCTGCTTGCCTTCTCTGTTTCCTCCCTACACAATGAGATGACCGTGAAGATTCACTTGGTACTCAGCAAGCACTCCATAAATGCTGGCCACAGCCCTCTCTGGGGATGCCCACTCCGTGTCTGTCCTGTTCTGCTTACTGGAGACCAGCTGAGCAGACAAGAGTAATGGCTGGCTATGTGAGCATGTGAGTACTTAGTCCAGGGCAGGAGGTACATTCAGAGTGTGGCCTGCCGACCCTGCCACTGCCCTGCCTCTGGAGCCTAGAAAACCAGCAGCTGGGAATGTCCTGAGCAGAGACCTTTACTAAATAAAGCCTGGATAGCCTCAGGGAGAGGCGGGCGCAGGGTCCAGGGAGCTGCCAGGTAGTGGGCAGTTTGGAGTAGCAGGGCTGCCCGCCACCCACTGAGGAGGTCCCTGGAGCCCCACTGCATATTGTCAGGTAAATATGATCTTCTGGAACACGTGAGTGAGTCAGGCAGGGCTAGGCCTGGGACCCAACCTAACCTGTCTCAAAGCAACACTGGGAAGTCATGTTTTCAACAGTCTGCCCACTTCATGTGCACAAAGAAGGCATGGGCTGATGATATCCCTATGCCCAGTGGCAACACGCTCATGTTTGCCTATACCCCCAAGTCCCAAGAACCAGGACCACACCACATTACACTGGCTAACCCCAACAGTGCACAAGCACACCACACACACACACACACACACACACACACACACCCCAATGTGTACTGTGCACAGCACACAGCGGGGGTGGTGCACTTTTCCATCTCCTGCTGAGCCCCAGGCCCACAGGAAGCAGCCTGGCTTGGTTGCCATAGTGATAGACTAGGAGAAAGGTCAGAAACAGAGAAGAAACAGTGGGGGAAGGGCAAGGCCAGGAAAGGCCCCTGGGAAAGGGAAAAGGGAAACAGAGGGGCACACTGCTTCTGTACCCATCCTGAGAACACATCTACAGCCGTGTGACACTCCTGGTAACCTGTACCTATTCCCGGTGTGAGGCACTGAGGCCAGAGGAAAGCCTCAGCTTACGTGTCCTGACCACCTCTGGATCACTCAGTCTTCCTCAAGTACCACCTTAACTTTAATTTCTGCAATGTCCTCCAGTGAAAGGCTCTCCGGTCCCCACCCCCATGTACCAAACTCCTATTCACGCTCCAATACCCAGCTCAAATAACACCCTCAAAGCTGAGCTCTGCCGGCCACAGGTGTGCTCAGACATACCTTTTGTGGTCTCACTCTCCCTCACGAGGAAGGTCCCTCTGGGGTTCTCGGCGTTGAGCAGTAGCCGCTCTGATTCTCTTCTAGTGATCTTGCCAAAGTACCACCTGGGGTGGGAGGGACAAGACTGTGTCTGTCAACCAGGGTTTGCTGGCCACAATGTTGGCCCTGGGTACTAGGGACTCAGGGTGGCCAGGCTACTGCCCATTCAGGCCCATGAGGGACCCTGTACTAGAGGTGGTAGTGGCAGCAGACCATAGCCGAACAACATACTCACTCTTCAGCCTGGATGGAATCGGAGGGCGCCACATAGTTGCTGGGGATGTAACCGGTCTGTCCGGTGCTCAGCGAGTGTGCCAGCCACCAGTCTCCCTCTCTGAGCAGGAGGAGGGAGGGAGCAAAGAATGAGGTCACCAGGGCAGCAGGGTCGGTAACCCTGACATCCCCGAGTGCACGGCCAGGCTCTGCAGCAAGGAAAGCCGGGCTAGCCTGTGGACACAGCAAGCCAGCAGGAACTGGCTGGAACCTCCACCTCTCTGACACACTGACCCAGAGGGACGCCACCTAAAACCTCAGCAGAACTGAGCCCCATCCACCCAAGGACTGAACTGTCCAGAAGTGCACAGCGGCCTGCAGGTGCCAAGGGCTGCCTTAGGAGAGAGGAAGGGAGGACGCTCCCTGTCTGGGGCAGAAGCAGGGTTTACACGAGATGCCACGCTAGACCTTCAAAGTCTCCCCAAGCTCTGAGAGCCCTAATGCCCAACGGAGACAAGGGCTGGCCCGTCTGGCCCAGCGATAGCTCAGGCTCATCCTTTCAAACAACACTACTTGCCCCTGTCCCAAATCATAGCTCACTCCTAAAAGTCCTTAACCAGAAACTACAGGCCTCCTCCTGCAGCCTATCTGTGGGGAAAGTGAAGCCAGAGAGAACTGGGCCGTGCCCAAAGTCACACAGCAAGTCATGGGAAATGAGGTGAGCAAGCCCCATGCTCAGAGTCCTCTACACTAACTACCCCAGGAAGAGGGGAGGAAGGCGGGAGGATCCCAGCAGGGTTCAGGCTCTGGACCTGGGCAGGAGGGGAAGGGGCAGAAGTACCTTTGCAGCCATCTGAATGTGAACCAGGTCTGGCTGGAGCAGGGGTCCAGAGACAGAGGAGGGAGGAGCAAGCGAGAGCCCGACAGGAGAGAAGAGGCAGAGATGGGGGTGGTGAGAGGCCGTGGCAGGGGGGCCAAGGGAGAGAGCGAGAGCCAGGCAGTGCTGGGGACACTGGGGACAGGATCCAGGGGGCAGCCAGAGACCTCACATCCAAAGCAACCAAAGGGGACAGGGACAAGGTTGGAGGTTTGAGGGAGGATTGGAGGACAAGGCCTGGGTGCTAGGATCCAGCCCTTCCCACACCCACTGTACAGACGAGAAGACTGAGGCTGGAGAAGCAGAGGGCTCTGTGCAAGGTCACACAGCCAGGCCAGGTGCCTCCCTGTGGGTACCATGAGGCTCAATGGCTCTGCAACTCTTCATGCAAGGCTTGGGGAGTAGACAAGAGTGGGTTCAAATTAGTCAGCTAATGTAGCCTTAGCCCTGCCTTGACCCTGAGAAGACACACAGCATCCCCACCCTGGCCCAGAGACAGAAAAGCCCTGGCCTCGAGTCACACAGTCCCGACTTGAATGCGCTGCTTCACAGATGGAGAAGTTGAGGCCAGGAGCAAGCGGAGCTGAGGAAACTTGAAGGACCTGCTGGAGGCCAGGTGACCATCAGACCCTGGCTAATGCTGGGCCATAGGGCTCCCTTCCAGGTGACATGCGCAGTGAAGAGGGTGGATCATGAGGGACACACACAGGCAAGGTGCAAGCTCACCTAGCACCCGTGCCCCAAAGCTCCACCCTCGCTTGGCGTACATACATTTCTGTCTGGTTTGACCCCCAAGATCAACAAGGAAGAAGGCAAGGCCTCCCACCCCGGCTGAGGAAACGACATTTGAGACGAGTGGAAGACCCAGTCACTCTTGTAAGAAGACCAGTGTTTTCTTTATAGATTGAGGAAACTGAGGCACAGAGGAGAATGATGATTTGCCCAGAGCCACACAACATAGCCAACGGCAGAGAGAGGCTGAAGTCAGGGGTCCCTAAGGTCCACAGCCAAATGCAGCAAGCAAGCTCTCCAAATCTGCAAAGGCCGAGAGGCCCAGAAGCCAGGGGACAAGAGACAGGGAGACAGGAGGACTGGGGCAGAAGACAGTCTGTACCAGGACGGGGCCCCGGTTTGACATCAGAGACCACAGAACGAGGTGGCCAAACTATAGCCAGAATGAGCAAAGCAGCCTGACAGGTCCCTAGGGGTTCACTGGCCTGTTTAGGGGTCACCTTCACAAGAAAATGGGCAGAGAAATACCGAACTGCTCCCCCACCCCCATGTAAAGGCTGAGCTCCCTGGCTGGCTCCCAGAAGGTCACATGTCAGCATATGGACCACCGTGGAGTAGGTGCTAAAACAACTAAAGCTGTTGATATCACAAGAGCTAAACAGGAACTGAACCACTAAACCCATACCTCCTACTGCGCCTGCACTGCACCCCTTTCCAACCTTCAAAAACCCAAGCCAAGTAGTTGTTCCTGGAGGAACACTGGGACCCTGGACAAACAGCACGCCCTCTCTGGGTTTTAGTATTCACATTCATAAAGGAGGCAATATCTAGTAAGTGCAGTCTGTACATAGCTTCAGGCTGGGCTCAGGGTAGGGGATGACCACTCGGCTTCAGTGTACCTACTCCAGAAATGGGGTATCAATCCCCACTTCCTATGCCAAGGGTCTAGGAGGACAGACTTGCCTTGGGTAGCCAGGGGCTTGGTCAGGGGTCTGGCACTCTCCCATGTGAGGGGCCCTAGTTTCTCAGCCAGGAAGAGGTGCCAGGCCAAGCTGAGCTGAGAATAACAACATTCTCCAGCAGGCACAACGGTTTGGCACCTGAACATCTCTGAGTCTGAGTAGAGCAGGAGTTAGTCAGGAGGCCCCAGCAGCAGGTCCAATAGCCAGATCCTGGCCCCACCATTCCTGTGACCCCAACACCCAGGGACTTCCAGCCGATGAGACTCCTCTGTGACTCACTCCAACTGCCTAACTGTACAGCCCCACCATCCTAAAAGGCAACAAGAGGGGAGAACGATACTGCACCCCAAAGAAGTGGAGGCTGTTGTGACCCCAGAGTAAGACACAGAGCCTGAGTCCCCAAGCCTTTCCTGCCTCCTGTCACTTGTGCAGAGACTCCCCACAGGGTTGGTCAGCACCGGGCACAACCTCCAAGGTCTGTGGCCATTCCTTCTCTCAGCTCTGCCTCTATCAGCTGTGTGACTCTGGGTGAGTCAACTATCCTCCCTGTGCCAGGGTCACACTGCTCCTCCTCCTGGCCACCAATGCCACCAGCATCTGGGGACATGGGGACGCAGAGGGTTCCCATTAGGAGGGAAGGAACATCTGGCTACTCTGGTCGGGAGGTACTAGGGAGGCCCCTCCCCCAGGGTACAGGCTAGGAAAAGGAGAGCAAATGCCCGGGTTCCATCCTGGGTTTGCTGTTGGTAGCCATGTGACCTTGGACAAGGGCCTTCACGACTTTGAGCCTCAGTTTCCTCATTCACAAAACAGAGCCAGCCCCTGCCCAGTAGCTGCTTCTCCAGGATCAGAGATAACAAGATGGAGGGGCGTGAGTGAGAGGCACAGCCCATGGCTCTTGCTGTTGCATCACACAGAGGGCACTCCCACCCTGGATCTTGAGGGATGAATAGGAGTTCACCAGGTGGATACAGGAGAAGAAATATTTCAGGCAAACAGAGTAGCATGCTCAAGGATCGGGAGGCAGGAGCAGCAAGACACGCCCAGGGAAACGGAAAACCTACCTCATTAGCCACCGGAGCACTCTGTGATGGAGCCTCTCTGCCCTCCAGAACAGCTCAAATCAAAGTCCCCAAGCCTTACCTGCTCCAGGGAGAGGCCTCCACAGTCCAGCACCCCTCCATCAGCTGCCCCCCTCCCAGGGATGCTGCCCACCACCCTTACCTGCAGTGGCTCACCGTCCTCCCTTGGGTGGGCAGTCAGATAGAGACAGCCCCCTCTCCAGGAGTCATCTTGCAGGGACCCCAGCCTGCTTCTGCCCACCCCTGGCCTGGTCTGGGGTAACCCACTCCCCACCACACTGCCTCCCTCCATGGCCTCCAGAATACACTGGGTCCTGCATGTAACTGGTACCCAATGTGGGGAGTCACAAATCAGAAGAGGGAGGAAGAGAACTAACAGGAAGGTGTGGGGAGAAGATGGAGGGTTGGCTCAAACAGGTGAGATGCAGGATAAGCTACAGGGACAGGGAGAGAGCTGGAAACACACAGGGGCAGTGGAGGAAGCACATGCAGACAGCAGCCCCCAGCCTCAGCAAAGCATCCCCCTCTACCTGACCTCGGTACACACCTGACATCCACCTTCCTCCTAAGGGCCAGCGAGAGAGAAGCAGAGAGAAGGAGGGGCTGAGGTGCGAAGACAGGGCCCAGGGCGAGGGAGGAGACTGGTTGGGTCTAGGGAGGGCCACCACCCACCAAGAGCAGAGGCAACCCTGTCGGCTCTGCACCGCCCTCTGCCGGCAGCTCTGAGTATAGCCGGGCCCATGCTCCCAGTGCAGTCGCCTCCGGGCCACTCACGTGTTATTGACAATCTGCAGCCGCTCCCCTTTCTTGAAGGACAGGTCAGTCTCTGTCCGTGACTCATAGTCATAGAGGGCCACAAAGGTGGTCACCCCACCTGCAGAGAGGGATGGGAGGTGTCAGAACCCTGCAGGGGGTGGGGTGGGAGACCGCCTTCCTCACTCACCAGCCAGTCCCAGGGAGGGAGCTAAGTAGCCCGAGCCTCCTGCTGGGCTGCAGACTGCTCTTTGTCTGATGTGTCTACTGACACAAGCAGAAGCCCCAGAGAACAGGGTCCCTTGCCCCACACTCAGACCCAGCACACAGTAGATACTCCAAGCCCCGTACTTAAGGGACTCTGCCTGTGTGTGTGCCTGGCAGCTTGAGGTTTGGGGCGAAGCTTCAGGACCCTTCCCCTGATTGTCCCCTCACCCACGGCTGCTCCTTGGACTCCTGCATCCCACCCTCCGCTGAGCAAGGCTCCACAAATGCTTTTCAAATGATAGAATGGGTGTGTGGCGGCATGGCGGGAAGTGCCTGTCCGAGGGTCTCAGCACAACCAAGTTCCTGTGGTGGAATGTGGGGCTGGGAACCCCTACATCCCGTGTCTGCATTCTGCATGTGAGCATGTGCACAGGTCCATCTGAGGGCCCAAGGTTGTATGCTCACCTGTATCCGTGTGTGCTCCACACTGCTGGTGTCTGGCCTAGGTGTGTCTCTAGGAGCACTGTGAGCATTTTGTTGGTGTCTCCACTCAGTGTGGGTACATGTCCAGTGTGGGCACATAACATGGCTGAGTTTGGGTGGGATTTGTAGGTGTGGGTGTGCATCCGTGCGTGTGGCTCAGTCTGAGCGTGGGATTTGCACGCATGGGTGCGCAGCCGTGAGTATGGCTCCGTCAGAGCGTGGGATTTGCACGTGTGGGTGTGTAGCCATACTTGCAGGAGCGTGAGTCACCCTGCGCAGTCCCAGGCGGCAGGGCTGCCGCACCACAAAGCGCCAGCAGAGGGCGCAGGGGCGCACTCGGCCACTGCACAGCAGAGCCAGGAACAAAGGCCGGGCGGGAGGCGGCAGCTAGTCCACCGCGCTCCTTCCCGTGCGAGCCTCAGGGTCCCCTACAACCCTCTCCTTCGGAACCCCTGAACCTGGCAGACCCAAGGAAGCAGGAGTCCCCTTCCCAGTTTATGAGTCCTTCCCCCTTCGCGGCCTCCGGAAAACCAAGTCTCCAGAACCCAGAGAGGATGCACCACAGCTCAGGGACACACAGCAAGGGGGAGGGCCGACCTGCCAGAGGCCCCGCCCTCTGTGGGGAGGTGACAGTGTCCGAGGAGTTGAAGCCTCCGAAGAGCTTGGGCTCGGCGGCCGCGGGGGACACGAAGGCGGCGCTGGGCCCGCGGTGGCCGTCGGCGGAGGCGGGCTTGCTCGGTGTCTGCGAAGCCGGGAAGGCGCCCCCTGCCCCGTGCACGTTCTCCGCGGGCTCCAGGCTGCGGCGCCGCTGGCTGGCGTCCTTGGGCTTGCTCTTGTTGCTGCCCATGGTCCTGGCTGGGGGGCGACAGAAAACCCTGAGGTAGAGAAGAGCCTCTGGGAACAGACAAGACACCCCATTCGCTCAGTTGATAGGCAAACTGAGGTCCTGAGAAGGGGACTAGCCACCCTAGGAGAGTTCGTCTCACAGTTTCACCTGTAAAATAAGTTGTTGGCACCTTAGGACGCAGCTGTGGATAGAAGACATACCAGTCCAGAGTCCTGACCCCTGGACCCAAAGTCTGTTTCAGTCTTTTATAGGTAGGGGCACTTGAGTCATATCTGTGTCCCCAGCACACAGGAGGGCCTCAGTTAAGTTCTGTTGAATGAATCCTTGCCTGACAAGTTGTCTAACACTGGGGGAAGGTCTAAACGTGTTAACCGAGGCAGCAGTACAGTAAGTGGCTTGAAGAAGGGACGGCCAGGCCTTCCAGCCACAGGACCTTTGCAAACGCTATTCCCTGACAGCTTCACCTCCCAAATCAGGTCCCTTCGACTCTCAGCTCAAAGACTCTTCCTGGGTCAGGGAGATGGCGCAGCAGGTAAAGGCACTATCCCAAACCCTGCTGACCTCAGTCCAGTTCCCAGGACCCACGTGGTGAAAAGGGAGGTGGGAGAAACCGTCCTGCACGATGGCCTCTGACTTCTGACCTTCACACATGCACGGTTCACACACATGCCTCCCTGTGAGCACACAGAGGGAAGGAAGGAAGGAAGGAAGGAAGGAAGGAAGGAAGGAAGGAAGGAAGGAAGGAAGGAAGGAAGG